CACACACTAACATGACACCTTTCTTGTTTAGTTTCACTTTCACCGCACGCCCTCGGACCCGATGGGAACTCATTCCTTGCAAACTGATTAGTTGGTGGTCCCCCTTTTCCCGAGCACAATAGATACCCGACATGCAAGGCCAGCCATTCTTAAAATACGTCTCTGTTGATTTTGCTCACTTTCTCTCCTATTGTCACAGCTGTCTCAGCCTCCTACACAGTTACCTTTCGCTGTGACTCATCCTTTACAACTCATCGTATCAGTCCCATTATTACGCCTAAACATTTGTTTTTACTGTCGCCGGGATCAGATAAGGGAGCTAGCTTGTTGCTTCTTAAGCCGCACTTGTAGAAGCTTCTGCATCAGCTGTCTGCATGTTACTTAATAGGTTCTCATTGTTTCTTGTTCTCCTGCTCGCCAGCTTCACCTTCGTGAATTTAAGTAAACGCTTCCAGATTATTATTTTTTTAAGACTCCACCGTTGTGAAATAAAAAAAAAAAAAAATTGCGTTCAAGATAAGTGTTTTATTGTGCCACATTTCAAGGAAGTTGACCTAGATTACGTGTCTGAGAGCGATAGAGTGACAGATAAACTTGAAAGGTAAAGCACCTCGTGCCAATGTTAACACGAAAGTGTGCCTTTTTAGCAGCTTTGATCCTTCCATACACAAATACGCTAAGAACATCCAGTAACACACACGCATTAGCATGCTGCACGTTTCATCTGATGCACAGCTCTGGTGAAGCTTTAAAGCTGAAAATATCTTTTTCGATTTAGGATTGATTTGAGTTTTAAGCTTTTGTTCATAATCAAACACTGGAATCCCAAAGTTTTTAAAATGCCAAATTCTAAAACGGATTTCACTTAGGAAATATGAGTAGCATGTTGGTTGTTTGACAGATTGGATTAGATTCAATTACATTCAAGCTTGCCGTTTTTTTCCCAAAGGGAAATGAAGTTGTAACTCATATGATCCAATTTTCTTCAGAGTCGTTGTAGATGCTGATGGCTGGGGAAAAAATTGCCAATAGCAGTCTGTGTTACAGCAGTTGTAACAAAACCTCTGACTGAAGACTTTAGTTGTACAGTAATCTCATGACGAGACTGCTCAGGGCCGTCCGTAACGTTGTCTTTTATGAAGACTCCTCCTTTTGGCAACACTCTCCAGATCTTCAACAGTAGTCTCAAAATAGAACCAGTTTTTCCTCTATCAGCTTGTTGAACCGTTTTTAGTCCCTGACTCAGACGCTTCTACTCCAACAGCATCTTGCTGCAAACATCGAAGGACTTCAGCTTCGTCAAAAAGTACAGTCTGTTTTGTCTCGTCTCGTAGACGGCTGTATTGCTGCCTGTTGAGTCCAGTCTGTGTTCCAGGTGAACACGCAGGTTATTATTCTCCTTTCTCTCACCTCTGCTTCTCCTCCCATTACAGAAATATGATTTCTGTTTCTCTTGAAATCTGCATGGATCTCGCGTGTTTTATTCACGTTCACGATGAGATGATCGTTCCTGCACTATGACACAAACGGCGCACCAGCTATCTGTAACTCAGCTTCTTGTCAGTCTAGGTCATCTGAGTATTTCTGCAGATGACGGCACTCTGACTTCTACTGGAAGTCTAAGGTGTACCGAGTGAAAAGAAACGGTAGGAGTACGGTCCCTTGTGGTGCTCCTCCGCTGCTGAACACCTGGAGTAAATCTACGAATCAGAGGCTAAGTTTAGTTCGTTACACTATTTGAAACGTGTTAATAATAACCATGATAATGCCTTACTCTCCGTAAAATTAGTTAAATTAAGATGGCTTGAGTGCGCCTTTCTCATGCTCTTTAATAACCTCTCAACACGCTGTGTGTCTTTTTTAAATCGATTTGGAGAAATCCTGCGAGAAGTGTAGTTCGTTTTCATATTGCACGCTCTTGTGCTGCGAGATCTTGTTGCACACCTGCTCAACGGCCAATAAAAGCGGTACTCTTTCATGATTGGACCAACACCAAAGATGAAAGGAGAACACATCCTGTCCCACTCATTTTCTTTAGTCTTTCTTTCTGGTTCAAACTGAAACTGGGCAACAAAACAGCTGGGTAGAGGTGCAGCGTTGAGCTTGTGTTTCTGATCTTTACGGCTAACCTCTCCTTCGAGAAATCCAGTTCGATTACATTCCTCTGAAGTGTGTGTGTGTGTGTGTGTGTAGAGCAGATGTCAGATGTTTTCTGGCTGCTTTTAAAGGCAGGTTGAGCTGAATGCCCTGCAGCAGAAAACCCGAGATGTCTATAAAGTTTCAGAAAAGTTTAAATTTCTGTCGCATTTATCTGCAGATTCCTTGTCCTCTGCTTGAGCCCCTCGCTCGTGTCTTCCCGTTCTGCCGTCTTCCGGACATTTTGGGCTGTAACTTTTGGACAGTGGGTGTGTTGTCACCGGCCTATGACAGCTCGTGGGTGTGAGGACTATAAAAATGTAGTGATCACTGCAAATCCTCGTCCCCTCCCTTCGCTCTCTGCTCTGTCTGTTTACATGTCTTTGCTGCGCAAAAACACACACACACACACACACACACACACACACATAGGCCTTCCCTCAACAGAACAGGGGAATTAAAAAAAAAAAAAAAATCTGCTGATTCTGCAGGGGCTCGGGTGCAGAGGTGTGGACGTGGTTATCGGCGCTTCACAATTTAACCCAGATGAAATTGTCTGGAAGTCTTTATCTGATTTCCTTTTTTGTGCTGTAGTTGGCTGCAGTGTACTTGCTGCGAGTCAACAAATGCTGCTTGTTTCTCTTCAGCTTTAGGCTAATGCCAGCTCTATTTTTGGTAAAGCATACGCGTTTGACTGCAGTTTGTCTCACCTTCCCTGATGGAGCAAACTTTATTGATTATAGTCAAGGAAGCTGATGTCAGTGAAACCTTCTTTTTAGGATTGGAACTTAATGCCAATTACTTTCATCAGAGTAGACATCAGTCTTGATTCTTATGCCATTGACAGCCATTAGTGGGCCATTTAAAAGGCACTGGACGAGAGCTCTATTGTGATTAGCCCCTCGGTGACCTGGCCAATATGGTCATCTTCTGTCCTGTTTTACGGGGGCCTGATTTACTGATACAGCAGCTCTTAGCTTAGCTTAGCTTAGCTTAGGTTTGGTTGGGTTGGTTTAAGAGCATTTTGTACAAAAAGAGTCCGTAACTGGAAGAATGAGAAGTTAAGACAGCTGTTTGATCGCACTAATTGATGACTACTGCGATTAACAACTCCTTGAAAGCTGTACGAACATGTATCTTTTGTTATCTTTTCATTTGAACAGAGAGACTAAAGCTAAAGCTAAAGTTGAGCTTGCATAAAGAAGCAGCTCGGATTATTTATTTATTTTTTTGAAGAGAACTTGACCCTGAAATTTCACAGTTTTTTTTTTTTATTTGACCTCCTAATAAATAACTGGCTTGGAAAATTATTTGGGACAAGTAGATTGTCTTTTGTTCCACTGGCAAATCTCTTCACCCATCTCCTAGACATGTTATATTTACATTGCATTTGTTTGAAATAATTTTTTTTTTTTTTTAACACATTTAGATTTTTTTTTTATTCCTCTATTATCCCCATGGACTGCAACACTATTAGAGAAAAATGTGCTGCAGGTTATTTACTAAACGTAGTGGTTTGATTTCAGAAGATCCCAAATGATGCAATCGCCACATTGTTTATTTGAATGTGTATTAAATGCATGCTGTTGCTTGATGCACTTATAGACCAAAATAGTGGGAGTTCTTGAGTTCTTGGTTTTCTTTTCTTTCAGTGCACGGTTCACTTTGGAAATAACTGTTTGGTATTATCAGATCCACAGTGCTCTCTCTTTTTTTTTTGTTTTTGTTTTTTACAGTAATGCTGGATCAATAGAGTGCTTTCAGCCTCCGATGTAGTGCGTCGTATAGTCCAAAGATCAAGTCTGGACTTTGACTGAGCATGTGACGGAGTTAATTCTCAGAGGAAATTTCTCCATAGGCGTCAAAACAGATTTACTAAGCGAAAGAAGGCAAGAGAACGGTTGAAATAGTCACATTTACGTCAGCATTAGTTTAGATTGTTATTACTGTTGCATTACCGTGGAAGGTCATTATAAAACTCCACTGAGACATTCTGTAACTTGTCAATTTTGGCTATTTTTGTAATGCACTTGCACATGTATGTAATCTTCCCCTCTTGTGGCTTTCTGTTCCTTACTTGGTTTGCTTCACAAGGAGAATCTGTTTACTCTCGTGTCATGTCAGCACATCACATCATGTCAGTGGTTTCCCCAGCTGGCTCATTTGGTATGTGCAGCGAAAAGCAGAAGTATTGATTCCTGCTTAGCATTTGATTTTGTAAACAGGGGTACTGCGTAAGCTACAAAAGCGTAAAATAGATGGCAAAATTATTGTTTTGCATAAGATTTTTTTTTAAATTATTATTATTTATCTTTCTTGCAGCAGGTACAGGTTAATGTGTTTAGTCTTTATTGGCTCAATACTTCTAGCCGAAAGGATTCAAATCTGTTTTGGGCTCTTTAAGTTAGATCAGCGAGTTGTTTGTGTACAGCAGCCTTTAAAGATGGACACATTTGCTATTGGATTCTCATTTGACCTTTTGACTAAGTCGATTTGTCCACATTTAATTTAAAAGTCTCCTTAAAAAGAAATTTCAACACAGTAGTGACGTGTGGTGCCATTGTCGTTGTCTGCACCAAAGAGAAACAGGTGTCCCTGAAAGATTTACACTTATATTTCTTCAAAAAAAAAAAAAAAAATCAAGATTTTAAGAATAGACTGAAAATGACCCCACAGTATAACAATGCCACCAATTTGCTTCATTCATGAGTTCTAAGTATAATTTATGAAGGACTTTCCTCAATGATGGTACGCTTTGCAGATTTCTTTCTCTGTAATTCAAGATCTACATTTGTGGAGCTGACAGCTCAACAGAATGAGTGGCAGGTTTAGGTTTGCAGACCTGTTCTTTTCCCCGTCCAGAACTTTTGAAATGTTTTGATGGTCTATTTATTTGATAGAGGAACAGTGTTCCTTCAAGCCTGGTAGTTATTGAAGGTTTAAAGCAGATAATTGAGTAACTGTGGCTGTAAGAATAATACAAAAAAAATGTATTTGTCACTAATCCACTGTTGTTTACATGAAATCTGTCAAGATTCATGGAAAAATCATTGACAGAACTGCGTAACTGTTACAGCAGAAGATGTGGAGCACATTTCCCCTGCTGGACTCTTGAGCTGAACTGTCAGGCAGCTGCAAGCTGCTGAGTGAGCTGCAGATGTGCAGAGTTGCTGTGTACGGCCCACCAAAAAGGCCCGGTAGTGTATGTGAGCAAAAAAGTAAAAAATAAATTTAAAAAAAAAAATGCTTTGAAGACATTGTCGGGTTAGGTTTTCAAACGTTGTTTTTATTCTAAATTCAACCAAAAACAATGCTGTGTTTACACCAATGTCCTCTCCCGGGGACTTCAAATAACACTTTAGCTGTTTTCTGGATTTCATTACAATAGATAATGAAACAGAAGAAGTCTCGTTTACAGAATAAATGTCACACTTACCGTGCTGTTCAAGGATGTGCTCCTAGGATGCTTTTGCATGACACCGGTTGATTGCCACTGCGGAGAGCTCAATTCGAGTGTTGCTGTTGTTTCTCCCAGCAGGGAGAAGAGAGTGATGTGTAAAGGTTTCCAGGATTCATCATCTTGCAGCAATGGCCTGAGGGACTCTCTGGACTAAGACCACGGTAAGAAGAGCAACCGCAGCCAACTCTCTACTGATGCAACTCTGCTGCGCAATATGATGAATGGACTTCTGTCAAATATAAATGTTGACATGATTCAAACACTGAAACAACAAACTCCTGCTGTTTTATGATCTTGCATCGTTGGAAAAATAGATACACCCGGGTGAGCCTGTGGAGATCATCTCCACAGGCTTTGTGCTGCAACATTTGTTTTACAGACCAAAGCAATGGAGGTTTTGCAAACTCTTCTGCTCTACAGATCCTGATATTGCTGAAAGATTGAGTTTGAGCTGATGCTTCCACAAGTTTGATGAATGTGCTCCTCTGTACTTGTTCGGTTTTCTGACTTGACAGTTTTGTAAATCAGTTTTGCAAAAAGAAAAAAAAAAGAAAAGACAAATTGCTTCATTGTTTATTTAGCTTTTTCTTGTTTTTACTCTTTATCTGGAAATTGCTGGATGTTTAAACACTCTCTGTTTAGCTTAGTTTCTTTCAGCCAGCTTACTGGCAGTTTAGCGGAACGCTTTCCATAAAGCCAGAGTGACTCTGGCATCAAAACAACTTTAAATCAGAAAACTGGTGTAATGGGACGTTGTAGTAATTTTGGAAGCAGTATTTAAAAAAACCCCAAAACAAAATAATAAAAAAAAAAACCTTGCTACACTATACGATATGCTGGTTTCAACCCATACCTTTCTATATTCAAAAGGATTTCAGATAAATCTGAAGAATTATTTATCTGAAGAAGATAAATTCTTCAGATAATTTATCTAAATCATCTGAAGAATTACTTTATGTGAAAGTAAATATGACTTTCACATTTTAGTTTGAGTTGGGGCTGAAAAACGTATCGCAATACAAGGATTTTATTCGAGTCTATATGGATAATTGATTAGTTTTTTTGTTTTAAATATCTGAAACGGAGCCAAAATCGTGTCATGATTTCTGTTTTATTCGCAATTTCCTCTTGAGCCGTTGTGCTCATTTCTTCTTTTCTCTATGCTATTGTTTTTTTAAGCACTTACGAAGGATGGAGGGCAAAACCTTTAACTGATGCTGTGTAGGTGGTTGCTAGGTAACCAAAGAGAGAGAGTTAGTTGACGCCCCCTCCTCCCCTCCTCGCTTGTGAGACGTTGAGTGGCTAGAGCTGTAGAACACTGTGTAGTTCAGGGTCAGAGTCCACTGAAATGATTGAATAGTCTATCAAACGTAGTAGCTGTTTATCAATCGTGTTTATTGGTGACATATAGATTTAAGTTTTTCCCTCCACTAATTGTTTCCCTTCATCTCTATTTTTTCCTTTCATGTTGAAAAGCAACTGGTCCATTTGACTGGTTCACTCTACAGTTCAAAGTTTTATACTGCAATCTGCTCATCAGGCAAAAACCTTGTTTTATTGTAAAACAAGTTTTTTTTTTAATGTACACACTACAATAAGCAGCTGGGTCAGTAGTGGATTGATAATGGCTCAGATCAATTAGGTAATTGACCCTTGGAGATTAACTTGGGATAACCCAACACATCAGCCTCTACGTTAACCTGATTTCCCTACTGTTATCAGTAAATCTTCCCATAGCAATTAACCACTGATGGATTTGGACTACATTGTTGTTTGAAGATGCATACTCGTAACAGCAGTAGTCGGTTTTGTTTCTTTTTTTTGTCCATTGCTTTATGCTAAGTTGGCAAATTGCCATTGTGATTTACATATCCAGCCATTGTACTCCCCAGTGTTTCTCTGACAACCAGATGCTGAACCGTCTGCTTCTCATCCTGCGACATCCTGGAGTTACTGCCGCCATTAAAGATTGATGAGTGTGATCAGCTTTCAGTAAATGTGGGGGCCTGGCTTGTTGTTGCTATCTGCCACTTTAGTGCCATTACCTGGCAGTGATTCCAGAGGAAAGAATATCTTGAGTGGGACTAGGTCGTATACAATTTGAACAGTTTTTCTTTCTTTTTTTTTCTTTTTTTTTTTTTGCTTGTTCATTTTACCCATCAGGAGAACTTTGAGAATTTTCCATTGAATTTCTTTTTTGGAGGACGGTTGTTGGAGTAATTAATGGTGCAAAGTTGATTTTAACTTTGCACCAAGTTAAGGTGGATGTTAGGTGGATGTTAAAATTTAGGTTTCTTGCATGCTCTTTGGTGATCTCTTATCCTGCATTATTCAGACTAAAATCAAAGACTTTTGTCTTTTCTGCCTTAAGCTAGCAAACATCCTGGAGAGAGAAGAGAACATGGACTTGCAGCATATTCTTAGTTATTGGGAAAACGTTACCGATTGTAATCAACCAACATTTTTTTTTTTTTTTTTTCCGTGTATGTCATCACAGTAAATCCCACCACTGTTAGTTTCAACATCTGGCTCACTGAGATCTGTTAGGCATGGACAAAATGGCAGTGAAAGTGAAAGTCCATGCAACTGTTTGTAAGCAGTGTTTGAATACATGACAGTTGAAATATTACAACATTCCAAATATTGTACTCGAGTTGTTGTTGGTCTATGCAGTCTTGATCATTGTTGATCTTTTTTTTTGTTATTGTACAGTTCAAATTCAAAACTATAAAGTCATTCATATTATGGACACAATTACTTAGTGACCTTAGTGACACGGGAATATAAAGTTGTGTGTCACCATAATGCATATGAAGACTTTGGAGAGCATAAAGGTCTTCAATAAAAGGGGATCCAAGAGTCTTGAGGAACCTCTCTTGTTTTTTTTGTTTGTTTTTTTTTTGTTTTTTTTTTTGTTATTATTCTTAGATTAATAACTGCCAAATAACACAAAGTGGTCCCAGTAGAGCAAGTAAAGCCTGACATAATCCAGCACAGTATCAGAAAGTCCCTCCTGCTTTTGCAGACTATTTAATGGTATGTCATAGTAGACTGTCTCAAATTAAGGTGAAGTTAAGGTTCTCAACTCGTAGAGAAATTTTATTTCATGGATTTACTAGTTCTGTTCTGTGGTCATAAATCTCATGACAGTTTGTTTATGCTGTCGAGGCGGATGGTAAATGGTTGCACACCAGAACAGAGACGTAAACTTTAGGCTCATTTTAAGAAGTCACCTGATTTATCGGTGTTTTCTGGAGGCTTTGTTGAGAATTGGAGCAATCGGCTCGAGCCCCTGGCATCACCTTGACCAAGTCGCAATACACAGTGCACCTTTAGGTTTTCGACTTTCATTTTTCTGCCGTCTTGCCGTTCTGCTCTGCCTTTCTCTTGACCCAAATCCGATAGCCCGGCATCTGGTTCAAGGTAACGGCAGCTGTCAGCGAGGCCAGAGTCCGCCACGACCTCCACAGTGTTCAATTCTGTCGAAAACGATATTGTTCAAATCCATATTTGCCTTGAATAACATCTTGCATGAATCCAACAAGTTTGTGTGTATGTTGGCTCTCCCGGACGCCTCTTTTCACCCTGGCAAAAAATACTGGGGCGTAAAACGAGAAGACAAGTGTCCTCTGGGTCCTTCTTCTGTCATGATTTCCTCGTCAGTTTGTGGGAAATGAATTGCCTGTACTGCAGGCCTCGAGAAGCACTCTTTACCCGTGCACTCTTGCTCCCCATGTCCCTCCTGGGGCCGGTTGTGTCGAGACGCCATGTGAGGACAAATTACACACCAACGAGACATTGTTCAGCCCCACCGAGGTTCTGCGCTTTCTGGAAGGGTTCTCGTTATAGCAGTGAATGAGACTACAAACACTGCCCCAATAGCTTCTTATTCAGTGTGATGAATGGTCTTGCCCAGCGCCCAGTGAGCTCCAGAAACACTAGGTGTGTCTCTAAACAAAGCCATGTTAAGCCACAAAATTACAGGAACGGCACACTGGCAGATGCAGCCTCCGCTTGGCAACTCGAGACATTTCTTTCTTCCATTATGTTGCGAGTTCAAATGGGCAAATCAGTAGTTTTATATTGTTGCTTTTTTTTATGGCAGTCTGGTTTTGACTGTGCAGTGTAAGCATCGCGAGTAGTTGCGAGAACTATGCAAAGACCAGAGGATTTTCTCAAGAAAAACTGTCTTAGAACTGCTAAGTATGTCCTCTATTAAGGGACGGTGTGGTGTTTTCTTGGCTGTACATGCAGGTGAATGTCTGAGTTGGATTTCTAAGGTGGGGAGCCGTCTGATGGAGCGGGTTACAAGCAGGTTCTGGTTGAGTTTGACGGGAGGGAGCGCGGTTGCTTCCGGCGCTTTGTGCGGCGTCAAACCACTTGTCGTCCCCACGCTTCTCCCTCACCAGACTGGTTGGCTCCAGCTCAATCCTGGGGGTGGAGGGGGGGGGGTCATGTGACACTCAAATTATAAGCAACAACACACACACACACACACACACTATGGCTTTCGTTCTAAAGAGCTCTCTGAAAGTCAATTGATTTCTCTGGAGATTTTGTTGGGGTTGTGAAGTTATATTTGCTATAGTTTTGCTTTTAGTCCTCTGTCAGAAATGGCGTTCTGTCTGACACACAGCTTTAGCTTCTGGAAAATTACCGGTGTCATTTTCTTGAGGTGGCGTTGTTTCTCTTTAAAGCGTTTTTAATAGCCCTCCCCGTCGTGCATCCGTGGGAGTCGGTCACAGATAGGATAAAGATGGGGGGGTTAAAAAAAAAAAAAAAAAGGGTAACAACGTGAGAATTGTTTACACTGTCAGCCCATCTGCTCGCAAATATTCGACGTCTGCGTTTATGCGAGAGAAACAGGAAGGAGTCTAAAGCAGAGATGGCTATGAGGCTCGGTTTCAAAGTGGGCAACTACCCAGAAGGGCATTGCTCAAATAAACCCCATGACCCCCAGGCATCATTTCCACTCAGTCCTTCAGCCTGTGCTTTCCCCAGTCAAAGCTGCTGCTTTGCCAGGAACGCGTAGAAGATAACCGAACGGCGTGTCCACTGCGTTTTACACCTAAAGGATGAAATCGCATTTCAACTTAACGCTTATAAATCGCACAATCCAAGATGAGCTCTCAGTTGCATTATCTCTGAAATGTTTTATTTT